GTAACTTTCGATGACAGCCTATCCTTTCAAGTTGTGCAGGCCGTACCGTCAGACAGTATGTGCCACATTCCCGATCTTATGCAAGCGTTTCAGCTTGGAGGAGAGGGAGAGACAACCTGGCTTTGAAGCAGAGCGCTTTGAGGCACTTGCCGTATGATATTTTTACCAGTCGCCTGAATCATTGGCGGATGGATTGAGAAAATAGTAGCTGTTCAGCCTTACTGTCTGGGAGCATTCTCAAAATGATCCGAAACCGTGGCAGTGTGATTTTTGAATCTGATGAAGCAGCTGTTGTACACCAAGGCTTTCTCAGATATCTGAAATTCGGACGCTGTCGAGAGGCGTAAACCTAGCGATTCGCCTCAGAAAATGATGCAATCGGTTAGTAGGACTCTGCTCGTTAGAGTGCCAAGTTCAAGGCAGACACTCGGCATTAAAATGTTCGTCTATTAACTGCCAATTCCTTAAGCAAGGAATCTACCCTACTGTACTTAGGTGCAACCTGCCAAAAAGATTGTAGCTGATCCTCTATCTGCTAATAGTGGAGATAGCATGACGTTCTGGTGTGATCATGCCATGCGTACGAGGTATACGGTCACGCTATCTGATGTGCACGCTTTACGGCGGCAATTCGCCGTGACCCACTCGATAGTTGACTGGGAATCAACTACTTATAAAAATTAATTTAGCGTAAAAATTAAGTCCGTCGTTTTAGTCGGAAATGAATTGGATATCCGCTGTCCAAAACTTAAGTCTCTTCGCTTTTGTACCTTTCCTGTATAGTAACATTACAGCGCAGTAGTAAATCTTGAAGCCCGATGCAAAAACAATCTGTGGTTATACTGATGAGTATGTCATACTGCCATGGCTACGGGGAAGAAGGCGATGGTCTTGAGGGCGGGGTTTTTAGTAACCTGTTAAAGAAGGATGACAATAGGGAGTGATCTAAGTGACAGGATATTACCTCATTGAATCTCCCGGAAAAAGTCTACTCAAAGGTGTTAGAAAGCGATGTCCTTCGTGAACTAGCACAAGTCGCTGTGAATAAAGCGGACCTAAGTCTCACAAGTGAGCTCTCTGTACTCAAGTTGATTTCCATCCCGATGCTTACCAACGGTCATTAGTCATGGGCCATGACTGCTTAACTTTGATCTCGGGTTCATAGGGCTGAAATGGTTTATCTGTGACGAATGGCTGTATTCGCGCGTCTCTACATGAGACAGGTTTCCAAAGAGCTTTGATGTCCATCCGCTGCTTCTCCAGACTGAGAAGTCACAGCTACGACGGTCACCTATTGCGGATGCTCTGCCAAAGAAAGGCAAAAC